TTCTTTTCTTATTAATTCCCTTTTCCATTYCCTGCATCTTACCTTTGAAGATGGAGAATTCAAAACCATTAATTTTACATATTCATTGTCTTTTCTCTGACCATTTGAAACCATAGAATGATTTAATAAAGTCCTGTTTTGATATTAATTGCCTCAAATAATTGGAAAGCTTTTTCATTCCTTTGAAATAAGATTGCCTTCAGATTCCTGTACCAACTAGTTCTGATTCCCTTTCTTGGTAACTCTTAACTATCTCCTATGGAAACAGAAGAAAAAGAAACAAATTACTGGATAAACAAACTCCTTCCTCAAAAAATGAGCTGAACTAAATAAGACCCCAAACTCAATATATGTTAATGAGTGCCAAAAGATACCAAGCATTAATAAAACACCTATTTTGTGGCTATCAACGAACTAAGTACTATGAAAAAGAAATTCTTAAAAAGACAAGGTACTTCTTCTAAGATAATAGTCGAGTTGGAAACCAAAATGTTTAGAAGAACAGCATAATTTAGACAATGTGACTTTATTTATTAAAAAATAAATTGTTCAATGTGGTTAATAAAAAACAAAACAGTATGTGATAAAATTACTTGTGGCCAGTCTATATAGAGCTTAACCATGAGTTAAGAAAGATACAGATCCTGGACTGGGATATCCAGGGAAATGATGAAACCTTCACTCATTTTGGAAGATGAGAAGATAGAAACAAAAGATAAAATAAGAAACATACAGAACTGTGCTGTAAAGGAAAAATGGTAAAGGCATTGGTCTGACCTTAAGAAAAATTTTGTGTATGTAATTATCAACATCCCTAAGTAACAATTATTAATGCAACAATCAATCCACCTCCAATCTGCTTATGAGAGACATTGAGTGCAACCAACCATTTAAAACCTAAATTCTCATTTCATTAATTCTATAGCCATTTATTAAGTCCCTACTATGTGGATAGCAATGCGCTAGGCATTAAGGATATGATTATAAGGAAAGGGAGAAAAAATACCTATATAAATTAAATGAGCCAACAATGTCAGGGTAAGCACTATACATATCGAATAATACTAGGCTAAGGACTGTACATATCTTATGTCACTTTGTCTAATTTTTAGACTACAGCAAAACCAAGTAAGCTTTTGACCATTTTACATTTTTAAAATAAAGAGACTGAATGTCAGAGAGATTAATTTGCCAAGTTTATAAACAATTAGAGACACAAATGCAGACATTTAAATAAGTGTATTTAATAGAAAAGACAAAAAAGTTGTAAAAGATCCTACAATTAATTAAAAAAAAAAACAAATTGTTAAAGACCCTACAATGATTAACAGAAAAAATAACTTTGGCAAGGATTATAATAGGCTTTGTAGATTAATGTTACCAGCTTCAAAATCTGTGTTTCTCACCCTTGGTTAAGCATTAGAATTGAATGGGGGGGTTCAAATGAAGGAGTTTTAAAGGGTGCTGATGTTTGGATTCCATCCCCCMAAATTCTAATGTAATTAAACTGGGGTTCATCCTGAGCTTCGAGTTTTAATAGTTTCTCAGGTGATGTTGATGTACAAGCAGTTATTCTGAGTTATTTCCAGCAGTTAYTTCACAGTTCATTCAAATTACCAAGGAATTCTGCTGTACTGTAGATTCTGATTTAGTGCTCTGGAGAAGGCCAAATTTTTGCGTTTCTTTCCGATGCCTATGGACTGAGATGGAGGCATGCATACAGCATAATGGAGCCCACAGAAAGGCATATTACTTACAGGCTGGGGAGAAAATAGATAAGGCAAAATAACTGATCTCTCTTTGGTGTAAATATGGATTTTGGAGTCAGGATAATCTGAATTTTTCACTCCAGAGCAGATCTTTTCCTCCAGCAACTTTAACGTCTCCAACAGTTTCTGGAATTCCAATTTTCACCATTCCATGCACCACTTACTACCTTTATTGGCTAGTTTACCCTTCTTCCCTAGTTATMCCAATTTGAAGATTAAAGAGATTACTAGTCTATTATTCCCAGCACTTTTTATCTATTTATGGTTGGATGGATTAATCTATACATTACTATCTATTAAGTTCCTAATAATCTTTTCTCCTGCCTCCCAAAGATTCCATGGGGAATCATTATAATCGCTTCCTTTTAAACTCTCATTTTGGCTCTCTCCATGTGAGATTCATCCTTATTTAAACTCAACTACCCTCTTCTCATTTCATTAATTCCAGTCATTTGTTAATTCTCTACTATGTGGACAGCAATGTACTGGCATTAAGGATACGTGAAACTGTTTCTTTTCTTTTTTTTTTTTAATATTTATTTATTTTTTAGTTTTCGGCGGACACAACATCTTTGTTTGTATGTGGTGYTGAGGATCGAACCCGGGCCGCACGCATGGCAGGCAAGTGCGCTACCGCTTGAGCCACATCCCCAGCCCCGAAACTGTTTATTTTCAATGAGAGAACACTGACATCTAATTGTGCTTGCCAGGCCAGTTGTAGCAACATCAAGACAAGCTGGCAGTACCAAGTCATCCCCCGGATGGCATGATCTGCTTTTCTCTTTCTCAGTATCCATACTCTTGATTTACTTTAACCATCACTCCCAAATAAAACTATCACTTTACAGCTTTCCTTTTTATATGGTACCACCATCCACACATATGCTCACACAAAAACTTAAAATTCATCATTGATACTCCCCTTTTTGTCACACCCAACCATCAAATCCCATTGTCTTCTTTAAAAAAAAAAAAACAGAGAGAGAGAGAATTTTTTAATATTTATTTTTTAGTTTTTGGTGGACACATCTTTATTTTATTTTTATGTGGTGCTAAGGATCTAATCCAGCGCCCCACGCTTGCCAGGCGAGCGCGCTACCGCTTGAGCCATATCCCCAGCCCCTGGCTCCTATTGTCTTCTTTATTTCTTCTGCCATCATTCTGATCCAAAGCACCCTAAATATGAAGTAGCCTCTTATTCTCTCTGCTTCCATTCTTGTCCTCTACTGTTGCAATAGACACAAATCAAATCATATTCCCTTGCTTTAAAACCACTTTCCATTGTTCTTAGAGTAAAAAACACACTTCCCATTCCCCTTTTTATTGGTGCATTATAGTTGGACATAGTAGAATTTGTTGTTACATATTTGTATATGCACACAATATAACAATATATTTTGGCCAATATCATAGCCCAGTATTTCCTCATTAGCTCCTCTCTTCCCTCTCCCTGGTCCTTTTCCTCTATTCTACCAAGCTCCCATTGATTTTCATGAGACCTTTCCCATCTTTTTTTTCCTCTCTAGCTTCCACATACAACAGAAAACATACAACCTCTGACCTTCTGAGTTTGGCTTATTTCACTTAACAAATCATCTCTAGTTCTATCCAAAGAAAAACATCATTTTTCTTTGTGGCAGAATAAAACTCCACTGTACATATATATCACATTTTCGTTTTTTCATTCATCCRATGATGGACACCTAGGCTAGTTCCATAGTTTGACTATTGTGAATTGTGCTGCTGTAAACATGGCTATGCATGTTTCCCCATCAYATGATGACTTTAATTCTTTAGGATAAATGCGGAGGAGTGGGCTAGCTGGGTGGTTCCATTCCAGCTCTTTTGAGAAACTTCCATACTGATTTCCATAGTGGTGTACCCATTTAAAAACCCCACCAACAGTGTAAAGTGCTCCTGTTTCTCCACATCCTATTATTATTATTATTATTATTATTATTATTATTCCAGAGATTGAACCCAGAGGAGTTTAACCACTGAGCCACATTCCCAGCCCTTTTGTTTCTTCTTTTTATGAAAAAATATTTTTTTTTAGTTGTTAATGGGTCTTTATTTTACTTATTTATATGTGGTGCCGAGAATTGAACCCAGTGCCTCACACATGCTAGGCAAGCACTCTACCACTGAGCCACAACCCCAGCTCATCCCAGCTCTTTTATTTTCTTCTTCTTCTTCTTCTTCTTTTTTTTTTTTTCCTTGAGACAGGGTCTCCCTAAATTAGGGCCTTGCTAAATTGCTGAGGCTGCCTTTGAACTTCCCATTCTCCTACTTCAGGCTCCCAAGCTGCTGGGATTACAGACCTATTGTTCTATTCTTGATGACTGCCATTCTGACTGGAGTGAGACAGTTTTGATTTGCATTCCCCTAATTAAAGCCAAACGTCTTACTCTGGGTTTCAAAGACCTACAAGGTCTATCTGGCTTCTGCCTAACTCTCCACCCTCATCTCATACATTTCCCTCATTCTGACTACCCCTGCCCCAAGCTCAGGAAGCTCATTCTTATCTATGCACTAGCCTTGTCTTTTGCTGGTAGTCTCTTTTGGCTCCTCCTTATCCAGGTCCCTTCTCTGAAGGGCCTTCCTTGACAATGTCATCAAGGTGCCACCTTCCTAGTACTATCACGTTCTTCCATCTTACTTCCTTTGGAGTAATACTGAATATCTGAAAAGCACATGGCTTACTTGCTTCGTATATTGTCCCTGCCTCATTGCCATTTAACTCTCAAAAGAGATGGCCATTTATCTGCCTTGCTCATCATTGTAAGCTAAGGGCTCAATAAATATAAGCTGGGTGCCATGCTTCTCACTTCTGCTTCAATACAACGCCCATAAACAGTCGGCTGTTACATTTTTGTTTTTAATAAAATAGGGCACTCAACGAAAAGTCAAAGCAGGGAGTCAAGAAAGGGCCTTTTACCCATAGTGCCCAATGTCGTGTGTTAACACAGTATGTAGGGATGTGACAAAACGCCTACACCTGAGGCTCTTTTCCCTCTGAATATCTTCCTTCCTGAAAATACTAGATCTAGGCCTTACCGTTCACTCTATCTTTTACTAAAGAACATCCTGAGTTTTATTTCTGTAACTGCCCTTTCGGCCTTTCCAGGCCTCAGGGAAGTCGCCCAAGGTTCTCGCGCAGGCGCCGAGCRCAGATTCCGCAGCGCCGAGGGCGTTGTAGTGCGCATGAGCAACTCCAAGCAGCGAGGCGGGAAGTGTTGCGCAGGCGCGTTTGGCCGAGCGCTGGGTGGGGACTCTAGAAGCCGGCGACCCGGGCATATTGGGAGCTACAGAAGTTGTACTCCCTTAAACCGTGAGTTTCCGACGGTTTGTTCCGCGGCTCGGGATTGTGAGGGGTTAGGAGCGAATTCTGGGTCTTGACTTCGGTTCTGTCGCAGTACAGCGCTTCTCTTCTCCCCGACTTCAGATCCCTACGACCTGGGGCGGCAAAGTGGCGCGCTTGCGCACAGAGCATCCGGTTTGGTCTCGGGTTTGAGCGAGGAAGGTCCTTTCCCGCGGCGCTCGTGGCCGGCGCTTTAGAATGCCCATTCATTCCCCTTCTCTTCCTCTGCTTGGCGCTCGCGGCCAGTATTGCATTAATTCTCCATCAATTTGCGTGGGACGTTGGACAGCCTCCTGGGGCTTCCTGTCAGTAGCAAGTCGTTTCCTGCTTTATTCCTTTTCCTCGGCACGAACCGTCCTCCTCTTCGCCCCCCTCACACTCCCCGCAGGCTTGTGCCCAGGCTCGTTTCCTCAGCTTTCCCAAACCCCTTTCCAGCGCTGCCAGCTGCTGCTGAGGCTGCCCCATCTGGGAAATTCTCCCTAAGGCCCCCTGCCGGTGTTTCTGGAAGGTGAAAGTAAAGCAAATGGGATTTCCGTAGAAATAGTCACAGTTTCCCTTACTTTGGGGATTTGAACATATGGTGCGCTTTTTAAGTGTTTGCCCCTTTGAGGACAGCAGCATTGTTTAGTGCTTGGTTCACTGAGTGATTTAAACTTACCTTCTCCAGCATTCTAATTTTCACAGCTGCTTTGCTYTCCCTACGGACATGACCCGTTTGCTGACATTTTGCATCCCAGTTGTTTTGTGATGGAGGCATCTTTGGGGATTCAGATGGATGAGCCAATGGCTTTTTCTCCCCTGCGTGACCGGTTTCAGGCAGAAGACTCTTCAAAAAAATATGAGCAGAATTTTAAACTTTCAGGTATGTGTTTGGTTTAACATTATGTTTAGGATCATGTTTAGGATCTAAACAGTTATAAAGATGCACAGGCATCTGTATTTCTTATAGCTTTTTAAAAAATAACATTGACTGCTAAAGTTAGCTGTATGTTTATATAGGATCATTTTACAAACAAGAGTAGGAAGATCTTGATTTAGGAATAGATTGCATTTTAGGAGTATTGTAGTCCAGCCTGATCATTTTATAGATGAAGTAGCTAAGGTCTAAATATTAGTGACTAAGAAAACATAAGTGTGTTGGAGTCCAAACTAGAATTTCTCTTCTGGACCAGCTCTTATTTCCCCTTGCCATACTGCCTTACACTTATTTTAGAAATTGACACTGAAGAGATCTTCACTTAAATATTCAAAAGCAGGGGTGCAGGCCTGTAATCCCAGCAGCTCTGGAGGCTGAGACATGAGGATCATGAGTTCAAAGCCAGCCTTAGCAAAAGYGAGTCACTAAGCAACTCAGTGAAACCCTGTCTCTAAATAAAATACAAAATAGGGGTAGGATGTGGYTCAGTGGTAGAGTGCCCCTGTGGTCAATCCCTAGTACCCCCTCCCCCAATTCAAAAGCAGAATTCCTTGACCAAAATGAATGAAATATTTCTAAAGCTCACTGAGGAATGATAATGAGGTATGATAATACAATGAGGCATGATAATGACACCATACCTCATTGTACTTCATGCTATGTTTGACCATAACCCAGACCTTAGGTTAAGAAGCTGGAAGTATCTTCTCATTGTCCCTATTTTTGGTATTTCAGTTTCCTACACTTAAGAGTTGACTTCCTCGCTCAAATTTATCTTCTTTTTAATATGTATAGCATTGCCTTTTTCCATTGCTATTTCTACCATATTAATTCATTTCCTTATGCTTTGTTTTTGAATTACAGTGAATTTTCTTATCTAAACATTTCTGTTTCATTCTCCCGGCTCATCTTACATTCTGCTACTAGATTTCTTAAAGTACCGCTTTGATCCAGTTTCATGGATGCTGTCTCTTTTCCCTTCCATTTTTCTTGCTATTACCTATTTTTCATAGGTTAGCATTCCCTCATTAGTTATTGAACACATAATACAATTACATAGTTATTGTATTATCCTTGTATTTAGTACTTTCTATTTTACCTTCATAGTTTGGCTTCTGATAAGTTGTGCATTAAGTAGCATGTATGAATGAATGAATCTGATTTGGTTCTAGCATTATGTTTAGGATCATGCTGCTTCTCTAGTATTCTGAAAATCTCCTGGGGAATAAAGAATGGGTTGAATTTTATTCCCAATTTCATAAGTTTTATAGCTTTTACATAACCTAACGTTGAGAACATTTTAAATAGTGCCTGTGATAATTTATAAAACATTCTGAAACTTTAGCCTTATAGTTCTTTTTTATGACTCTGAATAAAAACTAAGCTTATATCAAAAATATAACTTCAATAAAGAGTAAGCTGAAGAAGTCCAGGCACATAACTGTCTCTTGATCTAATTAGGAAAGTGATACTGGATCATGACATAGTTATGTGCCTGGACCTTATCAGCTTTTATGCCTTATTGAAATTGTTTTTTATATAGTAGTGGGGCTTTTAATATGTATTGTATTCCCAGAACCAGAAAGGTTCTAAATATAATGGATGATTGAAAATACTTGAATGAAAGATTTAATGCAGTGATATAAAGTAAATTACTTGGTGTAATGGATGAATAGCAAAGCCCTTTGTTTTGGGATATTTGTCAGTTTCTCATAACTTTTTTTAATATATATTTTTTAGTTTTAGGTGGATACAATATCTTTATTTTATTTTTATATGGTGCTGAGGATCGAACCCAGTACCTCACACGTGCTGGGCAGCACTCTACCACTTGAGCCTCAACCCCAGCCCCAGATTCTTATAACTTTTTCTGATAAAAATTCTACATGCTTATTGAAAAGAATTTATGAACTATAGAAAGCCAAAATAAGAAAATATTATCCCACTATTCAAATATTGCCAATGATTATTGTACTCCTTTAGTCTTAGAGGTATATTTGTAAAAATCCAAAATGGGATCATAATGCACTTATTTCTAATCTCTCCTTTTTTTTCCCTCAGTTGAGGTGTTGGAGATTGACCCCAAGGCCTTATGAATGCTAGGCTAGTACTCTACCAATGAACTACATCCCCAACTCCCTTTGTCTCCATTTTTTKCTTAATGTGTGTCTTAAATATTTCTTATGTACTTAAATATTCTACAACTTGGTTTAAATTCCATTGTATGATATTAATTGGCTTTTATTATTGAATTTTTAGATTGTTTTTCAATTAAGAAAAATGCTGCACTGCTTGAAGTACTTGGAATAGTATTGGATCAAATGTTTGTTCTTTCAGTGTTTCAGCAAGTATTTTAAAGTATCTACTGTATGCCAAGTTTAGTAAGTGAGAAAGATCTGCTCAGTGAAACAATAAAATAAACTTTTCATATACTGAATAACTCTATGCTGTTAAATTATGCTTGCTTTATGTATATTTTATGGATGCCCATACCTTATGCTCTAAAATGGGTTATAGAAAACATCTTGGTTTGCCTGAAACAGRTCTAGTTTATGCCTTTTTTCGCAAAGTCATTATTATTGATGTCCCCTTTCACTCTGAAGAGTTTTAATTTGGGCAGAATGATAAATGATCCCCCTATTTGTAGCATAGAGCCCCAGAATAATGATGTACATTACTAAAGTGTTAGTTTTACTCCATGGTAAGACATTGAAAGTATTATTTGGTGGAATACTTATTAAGTATCTAATAGGTGCAAACACTTTTTCGGATGATAGGGATAAATCTGTGTATAAAACAGAAATCAATGCCCTCMATATAATGGAAAGAGATAAAAGAAATACTGTGTTCAAAAGCGATTAGTACTGCAAAGTAATGTAGAAGGGAAAATATGATAGAAAGAACTGGGTGAGGAGATTGATTTTAAGAGTAGATGATCAGAGAAGACTTTGGCAAGGAACATTTGAGTTTAGACTTGAAGGAAGGTGATGGGAGTGAGCTATGCACCTGTTTGGGGAAGAGCATTCCAGGCTGGGGAAATGGCAAAAGGCTCTGAGATGGAAGTTTGCCTGCCATTCAGGAATAGCAAGGAGATCATTGTGGCTAAAAGAAGAAAGATGATGGGAATGAAATCAAAGAAAAATGTAAAGAGAGTAGTTTTTGGCTTTTATATGGAAGAAGATTTGAAGCTATTAGTCTTAAGTTTTCAAAATAGCAGCCTAGGCCCTCATGTAAATATGGGCATTTATTTATTTTTATTTTTTTGTCTTTTTTAGGAACTTCCCTAGTCCTCAAAGTCTATTTGTTTCTGTCTGGTAGTATTTTCCAGCTTTTGACATGAATGTGCTTTTCTGCTTGTTTACACTCATCTTCCACTTCAGAATTTGAGGATATTTCTTTCACTTTAGTTGTCAGAAGTTTTTAGTGTTGTTTAAAAATGTCAGAGTTGTTCTGTAGTGACAGGAATGCTTAATATAAACATTTTGAGTTTTGTGAAGATGGGTATGTACATAATAAGTGAGTAGTGGCATGGAAGTATATTATTCACATGACTTGTATGTTACAGCATTTTCTTATTAACATCTCTTTTCTTTCCTATGATTTTTTAATAGTTAACTAGTATCTCTACTACTGTTTGCCAGCTCTTGCTTATACAAAGAAGAGTTCCAAAGTAGGGAACTTGTAGAAAAACTATAGATTATTATAGTTGGAAGGTAAAAAGTTCATCTGATCCAGCCCCTTTATTTTATAGGTTAAGAAACTAAGAACTAGTATAGTTCGTGACAGGGGTTGGATCCAGATGTTTACATTCCAGCCTTCCTATATATCAGCACTATCCAATAGAACATTCTGTGATAGTGGAAATGTTTCGTTACTGCCACATGTGGTGAGGCAACTGAAGAAAATAATTTTTAATTGTATGTACTTTTAATAAACTTAGTCTTACTGTCCACTAGCTTCATGTGACTATCATCCTACTATAAAGCTTTCAGTAATAGTAATCACAGAACAAAGTATGAATGCATTGAATACTTGAATATGTTAACAAAATGACTACAAAACACTACAAAACAAGCACTTGAATATGTTTAGTATACAACTGCATAGTTTTAAAATATTTCTTCATATCTAAACACTGTGCTGCCAGTTATACTATGATACAATGTTCTATCACCTAGAAAATTTTTTGTTTTATACTTACTAAAATAATTCTTTTAGACATAAATAGACAAATAATTGTATATCTGGGTAATTATATAAAAAGGAAAATATTTCAGTTCTCCTAAATTTTTGTATTTAAACTCATATCCCATTTTCCTCTTAGTACTGTTTTGTATACATTAATGGTAACAATTTTTCTCTGAAGAACCACTAAAAATAAGAAACCATCAGGAGGCTGAGGCAAGAGGATTGCAAGTGCGCAAAGCCAGCCTTAATAACCTAGTGAGACCCTGTCTCCAAAAGAGGTGAGGGGTGCTGGGAATGTGGCTTAGTAGTTTAACCCCTGGGTTCATTCCCCAGTATCTAATAATAATATTAATCGTGATTCATTGGCTGTTAAGAAGAGCACAATATGTCGATCTGGCCTATATTTGATTGCTTCATTTTTACTTCTCCCTACATTGATTTGATTCTTAAGGGTTAAATAAATACTCTGATTTTCTTCAAATCACTAAGTTTTGATGCTGTCTGGCAACTATAAGATGCATCCCAATTCCAGAGTTGCTAAAATTGTGTCTTAAGAATCAAAAGAAATGTAATAGTTGAACATATCATTTTAATACCCATGCAMGTCCTTTTCCTTTGACCCTGTGGAATTTGAAGTTGGTTGGAATGACACTTTTTGGGAAAGAGTATAATTTACTATAGCAACTCTGACTGCTAGAAAGCCATATAGATTTTTTCCCTAGGCCTTGTTTTTGGCTTACAGAGTAAAGTAGGGTGGT